AAGGAACTTCTTTATGGTGAGGGTGACAGAGCCCTGGGACAGGCTGCCCAGGGAGGGTGTGGAGTCTCCTTCTCTGGAGACATTCAAGACCCGCCTGGACGCCTTCCTGTGTGATCTCATTTAGGTTCCTGCTCTGGCAGGGGGATTGGGCTGTATGATCTTTCGAGGTCCCTTCCAATCCCTGACATTTTGTGATTCTGTGAAAGGCAGCCCGGGCTGCGGGTGTGAGTGCTCACATACACATAGACTGACCATTTTAACATTTGTGTGTCCAAAAATGTAACATTTGCCTATGCAAAAAATCCTTAAATAAAGAAAAGGCTGATCCTGGAAAAATCCTGCCTCTGCTAAGGAGTGTCATTGCGGGGAAGAGGGGTGAGCGTGGCACGGAGAGCCTTATCATTGCTCTTTCTTCACTGGGTTCAGCGAGTTACTACGGCCATGCCCAGAGCTTTCTGCCTTGCACAAAAGGCCAGTTCAAGGCTGGATTAGTGTCAAGACACGTTTGGGTTTGGGCGAGAGGAAGGAAGGTGCAGCGAGTGTTACTCCATAGTGCCATCTAATGGGCTTGCTGCCGGGTGGGGGCTGCTGATGGGGCTGGGTAGGTTAAGGGCTGGGGGAAGGAGATTAAATGGGCAGATGTTGGACTTCAACATGACATAAAGGCTCTAAACCCCTGTTGCATGTTGAGTATTTTGCAGTTGCAGGGAGGAAGAACAACAGTGAGGGTAACAGCATTGAATGTGGGGCCAGCTGTGGTTTCCATGAAGGCTTTCCATACCCTGCACCAGTCATGGGCAGAGGCCACAGCAGGATGGAGAACTGGGCTCCTCTCCCAGTGCTCTGGGCTTGGGTTATGTCTGAAATGCTCTGGCAACAGGAACGGATCTAAATCTCCAGTTATTTGTAGAATTTCAGAAGCAGCTGGGTGGGAGGGAGAAAAGCCTGGACCAGATTTGCTGGTCAAGAAAATACCCACTTGGTTTTCTGTTGCACCTTTCCTATGTGTACATCAGATAAACTGCAATTAAAGTTCCATAATGGCCGTGTATGTTCTCGTGAAGATAGTTTTCTGGAGGTGGGAGATAGCAGCCCCACTGCCCTCCGAAGCAGTTAGCATCTCTGCCGGATCATCCCTGGCTGTGGCAAGTGCCACTGTTCGATGGCTCATTTGTTTTTTTTCAAGGGAGCCATAGGAAGTGCCTTGTTCTTGCCATACTTTCTAACACAGAGGCATCAGAAGATGAAGGTTTAATAAAGCCTGGCTTTACATGGCTCTTTTTTCCCAAAAGCTGAAGGATTTTGCAAATGTGGCAGTGTTGGAGTGACTCGGGAGATGTGTACCTGATTGTTCTAGGAGAGCTGGGACGCAAATGTAGCTGAGAGCAAAAAAGCACCAGATTCATTGTGTCTCCAGCTTACATGACAGTGTTCAGCCTCGGGTCTAAAATGCCCTCTTAACTTTTACTCCTGGTGAAACCCCTGGGAATGAAGCACACACCTAAAGCAGAGTGAGTGTGCGAGTGACCTGCTGCGCTGAGACCCAGGGTTGTGCAAGGTGAGATGTGCCTCCCAGCACCCTTCGGATGTGCAGTCCTGGGGTGCAAGGGCTGGCACAGGGGATCCCAGGGGACATTTTGGGTCAGTTTTCCAAAGCGGTGAGGAACGAGGGGACAGCAAACACGCCAGCCCAGATCCCAGACATGGTATGGCCATGCTCATGGAGCTCCTGCCCAAACCTACGGAGCCAGGCTGCTTCTGAGCCCCATGGTGTCTGTGGGACCGCTCTGCGGTGTCTGTGGGACACACAGACGAGCATCAAACCCAGCGGCCATCCCACACGGCCCTGCACGGACGCAGTCCCTGCTCCACTATGGATCAGGCTGATCCGTTCAGCTCCTCCATGTAGGCACGTTGGCTGGGACCAGCTTGGTGCCAGCAAGCAGCCCTGCAGTGACAGGTCCCTCAGAGAAGGCAAATATTGGATGTGACCAGCCCCACTGGAAATGAGGAGCTGTGCTGTGGGGCAGAGACAGGGCCATGCTGTGGGGCAAACAGGGCCGTGCTGTGGGGCAGACAAGGCCATGCTCCGCTGCACAGGAACACCATGGCTGCCCCGAGGCAGAAGGAGCAGTGCTGTGGGCATCCCCTTGCCTGCTCACTGGGAAAAACCATCCCTGCCCACCCCAGGAGCACCACACCTCCCCATGACATGGGACTGACCCCAACCCCGAGCCTCTCCACCTTCTGACCTTGAAGAATTTAGCTCTCTGCTCAAAGCTAGTATTTTAGTTCAGCCCCTTATTAAACCCTTAAGAAGCCTAAAATTCAAGTCTGACCAGTTGGCCAGGCTGAGGGAAGCCTACGCACAGGGCCAGGCACTGAGGGATGTCCTCAAAGCCTCTGCAAGCCTAATAGACACTTGCATGCGGCTCCTGATCAGAAAATCCCTTTTGTGTTGCTCACTCACTCAGTTTTCCATCCTGCTCTCTGGAGAGCATCTCTCATGGTTGTCAGAAAGCTGGAAGGAAATGCCAGTATTTAAAGTCTGTACTAAATGTATGGAAAGGAGAGAGAGGAAGGGAAAAGCCTGCTTGATCCCTCTCCTTGCACGGCAGCGCCTGTTTGAGGCACCAGGGAAGAGCTGGAGGAAGGATGTCACCTCCAAAGCAACTCGGCCATGGCCATCGGCTGCTGTCAAAGTTCTCCTATGTGTGGAAGTCAGAGAAACAGCATTTCCCACAGACACCAGCCCAGGAAGCAGCAAGGGAGCAGTCATGTTAGCTGGGTCTGAGTTGCAGGAGCTCCCCAGGGCTCAGGGACGGATCTTATGGATGTTTCTTGGGAAGCAAGAGGACAGAGCAGAGCCCCTGGCACCAGCACGGCATGTCCACCTCCTAGTCTGGAATGAAGATGAAGACTTAAATGCGGGCCTATAAGAAAGATGGGGACAAACTTCTTAGCAGGGTCTGTAGCAATAGGATGATGGCTTTAAAATACAAAAGGGGAAATTCAGACTGGATAGAGGGAAGGAATTTGTTACGCTGACGGTGGTGAGACCTTGGCCCAGGTTGCCCAGAGAGGTGGTAGATGCCCCATCCCTGGAAACATTCCAGGTCAGGTTGGATGCGGCTCTCAGCAACCTGATCTGGTTGCAGATGTCCCTGTCACTGCGAGGGGTTGGATTGGATGGGCTTTAAAGGTCTCTTCCAACACAAACCCTGCCATGATTCCGTGATTCTATGAAAAATGTAACACATGACTCTGCAAACCCTGCAGCTAGAGCCCAGTGGAAACCATCCAGCATATGGATCTAAACAGGAATCACAGATTATTGTGCAAACCATCTGTGCAGCCCAGCAATATTAACAGGAGGGCAAAACAGCAGCAAAAAAGTGACAGTGTGCAGCTTCTGCACGGGGCTGTCAGAGCACATCCAGAGTATGTACAGGGCCTGATGCCGTATACAGCTGTGGGGGCACAGGGCCCGTGTCAGCATGCACGGGGAGATGGCTGGGTGATTACTCAGAGATAGGATCCAGCATCACCGCAAAGCCCAGAGCAGCTGAGGTCAAAGGAAAGAGGAAATTGAACGTGTTCTCATTGCAGGAGCTTGAGATGAGGTCAGGCAGAAGTTTTTATGGGCAACCAGCTCCAGAACTAGGAACAAACAGAGATGATGATGCCATTGGAATATGATTCAGATGGCAAAGGTATTAAAGAGCTTAGTTCCCAGTTGTTTCAAAGGGAATTAGGGACCCCTGTGAGAATTACTGCCTGGCCATGGGTCTGGGTTCCTGAGGGAGGTGGCTGTGACGAAGGTCATGCTCGGCTTCAGCCAACGCCTAATGGCTTCCTGCAAAACGGAGGAGTAATTCAGCTGGCACCAAATTAGCACCTTGCACCACGAGACCCACTTCCTCCACCTGAAGCACCTTGCACCCTGGTTTGCTGTAATTCCTGTGGTGTGCACGTGCCTTG